TTTTAGTTGAGTTTTGTGTTTATTGCTATTGCATTGAATAAATTTCATACCTTATAATTTCTTGTAAGATTACTCTGACAATTAAGTTATCATGCAATTTCTTCAATAGATATTCAAGCAAGAATTTGTATTCTAGATATTTAAATGGGATGGCTTTCATGAACTGTTGCCCACACAGATTTTTTTATCAGTCAAGGAAGTTTCACATGAAATGAATTTTTTATTTTTTTTTAAATTCGCTTCATTTAAAAAAAATTACAACTTTTCAGTCAATGACGGAAAGGTAATTGTCCACTATTTCATATTTTGAAAGCTATGCATTATAGTATCTTTGCTAATGCTATTAAATACATCTTTCTCGCCCAAGAGTCAATCCGCCCCTGTTCATGAACTTCTGAAATTTTGCAAATTTTTTTGGAAGACAGATCGAGATTTTTTTTTATATCGTGAAGATAATAAATTTTCATTTTAAAAGTATGTTAATAATTGTTTGACTAGTTTTTGGTGACATTTCTTTATTTATTTCCTTTTTATTAATCTGTTGAATATGGTCACACAGCTTCAAGGAGCTCAGTAACGAGATTAATTAAAAATAGTATTTGCAATAAAATTCCAAATTACCTTTCGAAATTTTCTTTCCATTTTTTGCTTTCATTTTGCTGGGAATTTCCAGTTAAAAGAAGGTTAAGAAGAAATAAGAAGGCGTTAATACTACTTGAAATCGTCAAAATACACAAAAGCGCTTTTTCAAATATTATTCTCGTTAACCGCTTTGTGTCTCATTCGCGCTTATAGAGATGATCCGGAGATTCGGCGGCGGGAAGCAGCCGACGGGGACGCCGTCGCTGGCATGGTCGTGCGTCATCGTCGTCGCATCCCTCCTCGCCGGCGCCTCCGTCGTGCACAACATCTACAAGCCTGATTTGGTACTCGCCTCTTCACTCTTTCCCCTTCTTCAACTAGACCGCCCACAATCTGTTCGACAAAATGCCCCTTCTGAATTTATTTATTAATAACAATTATAACCTTCTGCTATTATTGATCGATTGTCATTCTTTTTCCCTTTTTGTTTCTGCAGAGACTCCCTCGAGTTGAAAGCGTGGACGAGCAAGAAATGGAGCAAGTGAAGAAGCTATAAGAAAGCCCGGCTTCCAAGATTTTAATTTTTTTTCTTTTTTATTTCTTCATGAGACTTTTTCATGTTTGGTTTGAATTTACAGACATAAAAGAGCAATGCATTTTCAGTACTAAGCACTCACTTTAGCTTGAGCACTTTCCAGCTTTTACAAAATCCAACATTGTCAATAAATTGTCTTTGAACATGTGTTCTCATGAACCAATTTGAAGGTTATTGTGTTCCTAATCCCAGCTCAACTCATGATCGAAGAACCTATAAACAAATTTTAATAAAGGTTCGATTCACATAGGCACTCGACCAGTGCATAAACTTGTGTCTTTGTTGGTTTTAACTTCACTCGAGGTACTAATTTTATCACTTTTACTTCGAGTTGCTACAAATTACCAATAGAATTTACCCATCTTCTAAAAATTAGTACAGACTATCATACTGGAGTAGTAAATAAGCTAATAAGAGGCTTTAGTATATATATCCTCTTTCAAAAGTGCAAATATGAATGTCATCGCCCCAAACCTCAATACAACCATTCTCAAAATCCATTACCGACAAAAGTCTAGTGGCTACAAGCCTACCAAGTGATGGTATTCTAAAAACGAACATTTCAAAACTCTTCTGAAGGAGCAAGAGGAATAAGGAAAGAAATCATGCAAAAAAAAAAAAAAAAAGAAGAAGAAATTTAAAAGCCACTAAGCTCAGCTCTCAACCATGGGTTCTGGACCAGAAGACTCTGCCTGAGATTTGTTGGACTGCCGTACAGAATTGAAAAGAATATCCTTGATGACCTGGAAGAAAGGGGAAAAAACACAATTTATGTATTGTCAAGGCTATTTTTGTCTGACACAAATCGGAATTTTCGTTTCAACGCTAACACTGCTATGAATTGTATGGAGAGAGGCACGAATGAAGGTAAATCAGACTTTACCTGTGACATCAATCCATGAACCTGCTCCACAGTTATCTTTGCACTGTCACGAGTGATCTTAGAAAGTTGAGATTCTTCCTGGAATAAATAAATCCATTTATAAGGGTTTCAAAATGTTAAAAAAAAAAAAGCAGCACAAAAGGTGCTGAAATGGCCAAAGTCTCTGTGTGAGATATATATATATATATAGAGAGAGAGAGATGCGTAATAAATTAATATAACAATAATCATAATCCAACCTCTGGATGAGGCATATAGCTCTCCGTAAAGTTCAAATACATCATCCTAAACTTAAAGTTGCAATATAAGGACGAGTTTCCACATTTATTAATGGGTGATTCAAAAACCATATCGGCAAAGAACTAGGATAAATGCTCAGGGAGTTCTACAAATCTAGAGTTCAAGACTTCAGCACAACAAAACTGCTATAACTATAAGGCTATACACGCAAATTATCGGTTGAAGTACTTCACGGTAACAGAAGGTGTTCATGTAATAAAGCATTAGGACACAGATCAACATGCTATAACTGAGACTCAGTATAGAAAAGCAAGAACTATGAAATGCTGATAATTTGCACCTCTTTCTTTCTTTGAGGAGTTGCAATCAAGGATCCAAAGCGTGCATGAGATAACTGATTTTCAGCTTGCTCTATTTTCTCGGCTGCATGAAATCTGGAGCAATAAATGGACTGGCCTTGTGCAAATAATTTAAATAACTTGCATACCAACAAAAAAATTACCTAAATCCGAGATTTGTCCAGCAACATAGTCTCCATTACCGAGCAATGGAGAAGAAGAAAGTGTGTTCACCCAATACTTATTCCAAAGTAGATCCAAAAGATGGCAATCAAGAGATGATTTGAAGTATGTGATGTCCAATGCATAATACTGCATACAAGAAGGTTCATTGAATGGGTAAATTTTCTACGACAATCAAAATTTTAAAATATATATTTCTGTTTGTGGGTGTGTGTATGTTAGCAGAACCTGTTTACAATGGACTCCAAAGTCCTCGATTTTGTTCAAGGGGATTGTCTGATACTCAGAAACAGGCTCATCTGGAGGCTTGTACCCTTCTGGGTATGTTCTGAAAGCACCAATATCAACTTTTCCAGCAGAAACTGTCCTTGTAGGGTCAATGACAACAGCTAAAAATGGCTCCTGGAATTGCTGGTTAAGCATTTGTGTGGACACATCTATACCCGAAAGCCAACATCCATAACCCGGATGGGAATGATACCATCCCACTACATTTTCCAAACGTCCCGCCTTTCATCCAAGATAATGATTTTTCAGAGGCATTAAAGATAATTTAGAACAAA